TGGCTGACAAAATTTGGACTGCTCTCAGGTACCGCTTAATGCATGACACGTGTTCCAAAGCCTGAGGAACGTTGAAATGGCATAAGTGGCCAGAAAACGTCAGATTATTTATTATTTATTATTAAATAAATATATATTTTAAGATCAGCCAATCTGAATCCTTGGATCCTACAATCATAAGGACTTGTTTATGTCTCTTGCACATGAACTCTCCCTCCCCTTCCGCTTAATATCATTCTTAATTGTTCCCTAACACAAAATGTAGCCTTTATTAAAATTAATATTCTCATCAATATTTATTTATTTCATTAATTTTTAATTTTTAATTTTCAGCTTGATATTTTTAAAATTTCTAGTTATTATATTGTTTTATTTAAGTTGTTTGAATATGTGAGAGAGAGAGAGAGGGACAGATAGAATAACCAATAAAATTATGTGCTTCTCTCAATAATTTATTTGTAACATAATTTTTTATTATAAAAACAAACTCTAGATTTTTTAGAAAACTTTGTTGACCGCGTAAAAAATTATTGATATTATTCATAATTTGTAATTTTATTACAATTAAAAGGAGTTAGATAGAATCTCTAAAAATTTTGTAGTCTTGTTCTTCATCAATAACCAATCCCATACGAATTTAGACTATTTCAACGCCAATAATTAAGAGTTTGCTTTTATCTATGAAAAGCAGACAATAAAATTCAATAAAGGCCCAGCGACACGTGACCCCACAAAGTTCAAGCTGAATCCGTGAATCTCCCCTTTTATTTATTTTAACTTTTCCCCCATTAGATGAGCCAATAGGATTTTATAAATTTTTAAATAACAAGTGAATCTACGGGATTTATTTAATACTTTTTTGTAATATCCCCTCAAAAAATCGGAGCCCGCAAATACTTCCAAGTAGTTGAGCATTACGTGGCAGGTCCGCCGCGTCTTTGGCAGCGCTTTCTTCTGCCTCCAATCCAACGTACCTCGCACACTCCACTCCTCGGTCTAAAGTCCAACCCCTCCTTCCACACTCTCACTCCCCTCACAGAGATTCTTCTGTTCTCTCCTTAGTTCATCTCATCACCTTCGATCTCTATTACCATCATGGATCCCAATCGTGCTTTTGTCAAGAATATCAAGCGTGTTGTTGTCAAGGTCTCCCTCGCTTTTATTGTCTAGTACCTCCTGTTTCATTGGTTGCATTCTAGTTTTTCGTAATGCTTCACTTGTTTTTTAATGCTGTGAAATGTTAGGGAACGACGCAAATCGTTTCCGGCGTTGTTCTCGGCTTTTTGTTCTTCAAGGCGACGTCGGTTTAATCTTTTGATTGGTTCAGTGATAAGATTTGCTTTTTATTTCCTCCGAGAAGTTTCTACGCCGAAACTTCTTTGGATTTATTTCTGATACATGTTAAAATGAAGAAAAGAGTGAATGTGGCCGAATTTATTGAGCTCCATTCAATTTCGCTGCATTTTTAAAAATCGCTTTGCTTTTACTTTCCTGCTCTTTGTCCTGCGTATATACCTTACGTCTTTTACTATTATAATTGCAGGTCGGAACTGCTGTGGTTACTCGAAGTGATGGAAGATTAGCGCTAGGAAGACTTGGAGCCCTCTGTGAGCAGGTAATCTTAATAGTACCAGTATAAAACTAATTCAATATTCAGTCAACCCTCTGTGATTTTTCTGAAGCGCATGTGAGAAGAAAACCAAGGATAAATACAGAGAAAAAGGGAAAAGGAGAAAACTGAACGGCCAATGGACCCAGATCCCCCCCCCCCAAAGAAACTAGCTAGAAATATCTCATTGGTCATGATTTCTTTTTCTTTTTTTTCCCTTTTTGGTCAACATCATTATTTCATTTTTTCCAGTGTGACTGAATTTTTGTCAATTTGTGCAGCTTAAAGAGCTCAATACCCTTGGCTACGAGGTTATATTGGTGACATCTGGTGCAGTTGGTCTCGGCCGCCAAAGACTAGGATATCGCAGAGTGGCCAATAGCAGGTTTTCTCTAAGCTGAAGTAAAATATGTTTTCAATACGTGTATCGATTTCATCTAATTACTGGTTCACGAAAGTAACTAAATGAATTTATCAAATAACGGAAGCTTTTGAAGCATGTGACGTTCCTCCAAAATATATCATGTTTTCATGCGGTTTTAAGGACAACTATATGGGTTGAATACATCAAATGGAACAGATATATAATTCCATCGGGCTCTGCGTTGTTCTGTAAAACTAGTTCAAAATTCTCCACAACACACCTCCCTTAGATTATTTTGATTTAAATTTTTTAATTAACAATAGATCAGCATAGCATCTAATAATTTCATGCACACTTTCAGCATGTAAGTTTGCGCTTGAGAATGATACACGTATTTATCAAATTTTTCATTACTATACAGCTTTTCTGATCTTCAAAAGCCTCAAGGTGAGCTTGACGGGAAAGCCTGCGCATCAGTTGGGCAGGGTAGTCTCATGGCTCTGTATGATACCATGTTCAGTCAGGTAGTCACAAATCAATCTGTTGATCCTATAGGTTTTCAATTTGATACATGAGTGGATGGAATATATATATTGGAAGATTTTTTTCCCTCAAAAATTACTATCATAGTTTTCTTTCATATTGATATTGATGAGATATTTGTGTGGTGCAGCTTGATGTCACTTCATCCCAACTTCTTGTGACTGATGGCTTATTTAGAGATGCGGGTTTCAGAAAACAACTGACAGATACAGTGCATTCCTTATTAGAATTAAGGGTTATTCCTATTTTTAATGAAAATGATGCTGTTAGTACCAGGAAGGCACCTTATGAGGTATGCTGGGACTTAAGATTTTTAGTTTGATTTTTCTAATTTTTTATGGTTTTTATAATTTTACGTCTGATTGTTTAGTCCTTTCATTTTCATTCAATTATCCTTCTTTTTCAAGAGATGATGATGGAAACTGAGAACCATCAGCTACTCCTGATGATCTGTGCTGATTTTACAGTTGTTTTCTAGTAGGATTAATCTTATTGTGAGGAGCTTGAAATTCAATCTTTTGCTGTTAAAATATTGTTAGATGGCTTTTGCCAAAATCTTAACTTCTTGTTTCCAGATTCAAACAACAATCTGATCCTGTTGGTCATTGTGATAGGTGATTGCTTCTAATTGTTACCGCTATCTGCAGGATTCTTCTGGTATTTTCTGGGATAATGATAGTTTGGCGGGTCTATTGGCTTTGGAACTGAAAGCTGACCTTCTTGTTTTATTGAGTGATGTAGAGGGCCTTTACAGTGGTCCTCCAAGTGACCCAAAGTCAAAGCTAATTCACACATATGTAAAAGAAAAACACCAAGAAGAAATTACCTTTGGAGATAAGTCCAGATTGGGCAGAGGGGGTATGACTGCTAAAGTCAATGCTGCAGTCTGTGCTGCCTATGCGGGAACCCCTGTGGTTATTACTAGGTATTTTTTTGCCAATATATCAGGATGTTTGTGCTAAACATATCTATTTTCGTTAGACTTTTAGATTCAATAATAATAAAAAACAAGTTGTTTCAATTTGTTGGTTGATCCATCTTTTGCTTGACTTGGAGAAAACTGTCCCTACTGATAAAATTATTTATCAAAATATTGGGAAAGAAATGCAATGAAGTAGGACATATAATGAGTTTGTTTATTACAAATGATCCCTTTCTCATGGTTGGCTTTTAATATATTTTGTTTCATGTCACCATTGGAATCTGGTAAGGGTTGTCAGTTGTTGAGACATGGCATAAAGAGTTTCCACTAAGCCCGGAAAAAGAGTTTAGTTTGACGGTCTACATCAGATTGGAACAGACAAAATGATTTTATCCATCATATTGACACTTGCGAGCCATGTAATGCTAAAAAATTACAGAAACATTTCTCATGTTGCAACAATTTTTATTTTCTATATGCTTTTATTGTCTTTGAATGCCACCTATTTGAAGTGATGAAAACAGGCTCAAGTTATCTCTGATTCTTTTGTCTGGTACAAGGATACAGGGATTTTCCTATTTTACTGACCTTGATTTCAATTCAATCTCCTTTCAAGTGGCTATGCTACAGACAACATTATAAGGGTGCTTCAAGGGGAGAAGATAGGAACTGTTTTTCATAAAGATGCACATTTGTGGTCAACCGTTAAGGAAGTGAGCGCGCATGAAATGGCTGTTTCAGCACGTGATAGTTCTAGAAGACTTCAGGTAAATGCACCGTCAAATTAACGAGTGTGAGGTGCCTTCTTTTCTTTTGGGCATGGTTTACAGCCAACAACAATTAACCAAAGTAGGTAGTTTCATTAATATAGTACTAATGATTTGGGTATCAGGCCCTAGATTCTGATGAAAGGAGGAAAATAATGTTGGCAATAGCTGACGCATTGGAGGAAAATGAAAGCATGATAAGGGCCGAGAATGAAGCTGATGTTGCTGAGGCAGAGCTGGCTGGATTAGAAAAGTCACTGGTTTCACGTTTAACCTTGAAACCTGAGAAGGTGATCAATCGTTTCCTTATTTGGGAAATGCACTAAAAAATATTATGCCTAACAATCTCCTGTTCTTACTGTCCAAGACCACACTAGATCCTCACTTCTAAGGGATGTTTTTAATGTCATTTTTTCCCTTTTCTGTGAAAATGTTCTTTTCTGACAACTATTATATTTTACAGATCTATAGACTCGCGAGCTCTATGCGTATGCTGGCAGATATGCAAGAACCCATTGGTCAAATTTTAAAGAAAACAGAGGTAGAATCCATAACTGACATGTAGAGTTGGCTTGATAAAATGACAAATTCTTGAGACTTTTTCCCCCTTCTAAAAACAAAACTTCACGTCTCTCCCTGGTAATTAAAATAGTCACATCTTTCTATCTATAAACAAAGCATCTCACTACTTTGGCCAAAAGAATATTATCCTCTCTGAAAACTAAAAATCCTGATGTTCTTGTGCTCAGTTGGCAGATAAACTCATACTGGAGAAAATATCATGCCCTTTGGGTGTCGTGCTTGTTATCTTTGAGTCTCGTCCTGATGCCCTTGTTCAGGTATATCCTTCCTCCAGCTTCAACAAACTGCTGAAAAGTTTCAGATATGAGCAAGATGTTAAACAATGCATTAACAGGCTTATCATTGTTCAACAATACTATTTAATTTGGGCTTTTGTGATTCTGTGTCACTTTTTGCAGAACAAGTATACTGTTGTGGCATATGTTTCCTCATATTCAAGATTGACTAATAAGTTGTTTGTTGATGTGTGGTTTGATAGATAGCTGCATTGGCCATTCGAAGTGGAAATGGTTTACTGCTCAAGGGAGGAAAGGAAGCCAAACGTTCGAATGCTGTCTTACACAAGGTTTACCCAAGTTTTGGGTCTGAGGCTGTTGTTTTTTAAGATTAATTTGAATTAGTATTATATACAATTTTACGCAAATTAGTTGATAAGGTTCTCAATGTTAATGTTTCTTCGCTATTGTAGATCATTACTTCAGCCATTCCAGAAAATGTTGGTGAAAAACTTATTGGACTTGTGACTTCAAGAGAAGAAATTCCGGATCTGCTGAAGGTGGTGCTAGAATTAAATTTCTGATAGTTATTTTTCTAAGATGGCTCCCTTCTAATTCTACTTTGCGACAGCTTGATGATGTGATAGATCTTGTGGTCCCGAGAGGCAGCAATAAGCTTGTTTCTCAAATCAAGGAGTCAACAAAGATTCCTGTTCTTGGCCATGCTGGTAATTAACACGCACACACACAATTATGTAATATTATTTCCCTTGTGCATCTGCAAACTAAAGCTTCTACTAAGTTATAATTTTGTCATGCAGATGGAATCTGTCATGTATATGTTGACAAGTCAGCTAATATTGAAATGGCAAAGCAGATTGTTAGAGATGCAAAGATTGACTATCCTGCTGCATGTAATGCAATGGTAATTATAATTAACATCCCTTGAAATGTGCATTAAATACTACTGTTTCTTCATGTATCCACAATGGCCAATAAAAGAATCGCCTACATCCGTCTATCCTTTAAGTTTTACATTTATTAGATCGTGGACTGTGTGCACTAATACGTTATACCCTGATGTTCCAAGGAAACACTTCTCGTGCACAAGGATCTAACACAGAATGGTGGAATCAGGGAACTCATGGCTGAACTCCGAAAAGAAGGTTTGATCTTAATTGCATATGGATTAATGAGAAACTGAAAGCATATATTTAAGGGGACAATTTCTTTTTCTTTTGTTATTTTCTAGCCCTCTGTCAATCCCTTTGCAATATTGATTATTTCCCCCTTTTCTACTGTAATCAAACAAGTCCTTCATTTTCAGACGAAAAATTTAGAAAACCTGGATTTTGTGTGCCGAAACGATAGCTAGTTTTTCATATAAAGAAAAATGGACTAAAGTTGAGGGATCACTGTCTCTAATAAAACTAAACCAGAATGCAGGCTCTTGTGGGTAAGTTTTTGTCCAAAAGAATCAAGGAACTAAGAAAGAGGAAACTCTGTTTTGGTTGGTTATAGATGTTGCCAAGGAAAAATCAAAAGTGATCTGTGCATAGAAAATTGAAGGGATCCTGCTTGCAAGGAGGGTATTAGTTGAGAGTCGATGAATCTTATGTATTATACACTGATTTGGTGGCAGGGGTTCAACTATATGGTGGACCAAGAGCCCGTGGACTGTTAAATATTCCTGAAACCAGATCCTTCCATCATGAGTACAGCTCGCTGGCATGCACGGTTGAAATTGTAGATGACGTGTTTGCTGCTATTGACCACATACATAAACATGGAAGGCATGTTATGAGGACCATCCTGCTCCTTTACATTCATCATTATTTGAGTTCTCCGTATTCCGAGGCTGATAGTCTTTCTTCCATTCCATTTTCTGCAGTGCTCATACTGATTGCATTGTTACTGAAGACTCTGAAGCTGCTGCTACTTTCCTTCGTCAAGTTGATAGGTAGGCTGGCTATGATTTAAGGAAATAAAATGACAGTATTCCTGTTCCATGCTTTGTTACCTAATTATACCTTTGAAATAGCTTCTTCAGAGTAAGGTTAAAAGCTTTTCTGACAAATTACTTATTGAGATTTTAAAGGTTTGTTTGTTTGTCCGAAGTGTTCTTTGGTTCGTCTCAAATTATTTTTCCAGTTTAAGCAGTATCATTGCTTGTTAATATATCTTAATTTGTTTTCAACTTATGTTACTCTTTTTTGGATCATGACTTATTTTTACATGCGCATATAGTGCTGCTGTATTTCATAATGCAAGTACCCGGTTCTGTGATGGAGCACGCTTTGGCCTTGGTGCAGAGGTAATGCATCTCCCATCTCCCAGAAGTTTCATGCTATATATTGATAAGCATGGTTAGTTTTAATTTCTGATTTGATTTTGTTTCATATATTGTTAAACAGGTTGGAATAAGCACAAGTCGAATCCATGTTCGAGGTCCAGTAGGAGTTGAGGGTTTGTTAACAAACAGATGGTATTGATTCTCTCACCATGTGTATCTTTTTCATTAAAGAACCTGATAACAATCTATCTTGCTCGCATGTTTTAGTATTAAAATCTCATACGATATAATATTGCAGGATATTGAGAGGAAGTGGGCATGTGGTGAATGGTGATCGAGGGATAACCTACACACACAAGGAGCTGCCTCTAAATGCATAGGATTAGATAGGTTTACAATTGGGATTAGATGAAGCTACTAGCAGTTTTTCTTCCCTTCAATTTTAAGATACAATGCTTGCACTGTATAATTAGTTTGCGTATTATAACCTATTAATTACAATTTAATTTGCCCCTATTCCAGAATTTTTTTTCCTATCTGGAGCATCTTCAGGGGAAAGAAACAGCTTGAGGATACTACTAATTAGGTGAATTTTTCCATGGCAGGTGGATATCTTATTAATTTTTACCCCAATAAATCATAATAAATTATTGTCCCTCTGTTATAATAAATCTACAGTTGACTTTTTCTTGCACCATTCAATCCAAGTGTCTCATATCCTTAAATATGTAACACCAATGCATGTGTCTGTCTAATAGCAAGGGTCTCATATGAAAATCCCAAGTGTGATAATATCCTAAGAGGCAAATGATCAAGAAGTCAGGGGTGACTTGTCTTCTTGAATAGATGTGAGGACTTCTAAGAAATCGGGAGAGCACTTAGTTCGAAGGTTTGAAGATTGATAGAGTATTTATGTTCAAAGATTGTAAGGTTGTAAATCATAGTGATTAAATTGATGCCATATCTCGTAGGTTAGTCCTACAGTTGAATCCAAATGTCAACGAGTCAAAAAAGGAAATTACAGTTACATGAACCCTTTTTACAAGGCCAGAACGAAGAGAAAAGGCCCCAAAAAAAAAAAAACCTGAAGGCATCATAATCAGGTGAAATATATGGATATTCACATAAATTGTGAAGCAAGAAAAACGTAAACGAGAGAGAGAGAGAGAGATGTTTCTTCAATTTAATTAGCATTCGGCTACGATGTTACCTGACATTTCATATTTCTCCATCCCACAATTCCTCGAGACTCTTGTAAGGACTGCAAGTTTCATGAACAGCGAAGTCCCCTCGCAGTAACCTTTGCTGCATTGTAGAACAAGAGAAAACAAACAATCCAATGATCAATATGTGAAGTTAACTGTTTGAATGTGTTAAAAGGCATCAATTATGACCTGGTGGATGTGAGAGAATTTTGAGAAAAGATGTGGAGGGATGGACCAATCAAATAAGCTAATATTCTCCTTGATTCTTGATTCATTCACACTCTTTGGAAGAACACTGTGACCACTTTGGATTCCCCAGCGCAGGGCAACCTGTGCTGGCGACTTGTTGAGTTCTTCCGCAATTTCAAGCAACACTGGTTCCTTCAAAACCTCACCTCTCACCCACGACCCTGGAGAACCCAATGGACAGTATGCCTGAAACAACAAACCATCTTTAATTTTAATTTCAATGAAGCAGAACCAGAAAATGCAGATATTAAGAAGAAGAAGAAGAAGAAAAGATAATTTAGAGTAATACAGAGAGATGAACACCAGTAGACATGCACAGATTGTGAAGAGAAGATTGCTGCCAAACTAGGTGGCATTCCACTTGGTTTACTGCAGGTGGGATCTTAGCATACTTGAGCATGTCTTGCAGCTTCTGGGTAGAGAAGTTGCTCACTCCAATGGCGCGAGCCTGACCCGACACGAATAGTCCTTCCATTGCATTCCATGTCTCTGCAAGACACAATGGAGCCATCACCTCTGGATCCCATCCTCTTGAACCTGCCTTTGTCCTAAAAGGCCAATGCATCTGTCACCACATTAATTACAACTATTTTGAGTTGACGGAAAATTAGACAGCAGATTTTTAATGAAGTGTACGCAAATGACATATAGTTGAAGGAAGACGTAATTGCAGCCTTCAAAAATAATGAGATGTCAAATTCATTTGTCTGAAAATAGGCTTTGGGAGGTTGAAAAATCAGGAACCATACAAGATATAGATCAATGTAATCTAGCTGGAGGTCCTCCAGAGTCTTACTTAGCGCTTTAGACACATCTTGGGGTGCACAGTCACTGGTCCTGTTTGGACAAACAATGACAAATCAACTGGAAAAGTATATATCAACAACATTAATTTATTAAGTCCATTGAATCATGGAACCGTGTTTTACAGTTGAAACTAAAAAACACGTACCATAGTTTGGATGTGATGAACATTTCACTACGTTGTACCACTCCACTTGAAAACAGTTTCTTCAGTGCCTCTCCTATCTGCTTCCAACATAAATCTCTAAACACAAGACAAACCAAAACAAATGCTATGTCTAATAATATGGGACAGGAAAATCTTACCTCTTTTTCATTTTCATAGACCTTGGCACAATCTATGTGTCTATAACCAGCCTGCAAATCATTGGAAAACTTTCATTAGACTAAATATTACAGCCAGCTCTGTTTCCCCCCTTCTTATGAACTCAATTACAAGACATTCCTTCGCAGACGAAGTCTACAAACATTTGTTTACATTTAATTGATTTGGTTCATCAAATCAAATTCTAATTGACATGCTCGATAAGTGAATATATTTTCCTAAAACAAAGCCATGCCCTATAAGATCACATTCGTATAACAATTATATATATATATATATATATATAATCAGAGCCATCTGAAATCCCTCAGAAGAAATCGAAGAGGAAAAAACAAAGGAGCAAGGAGAAGGAAAACCTTGACAGCAGCAATGACAGCATCACCCACAAGACCAGGAGGCGCTTTCCATGTTCCAAGGCCAACCGATGGCATCTTCGTTCCAGTATTAAGCTCAAAATATAGAGGTCCAAATTCACCTCCTCTTTCCATTTCTGAGGAAATTACTTCCAAAATACTGAAACACAATTTTTGAAGGTCAAAATACCAGGATTGATTGACTATCTTCACGCCTCCAAGATTTCAGGGAATCTCATTGTCTGCTATGTATCCATAGAGCTATTGGATCGAAGTTGAGGTTGAGTCAGTGAAGGATAAAGTCGTTGGGTCAATGGTTAATTTACTAATTAATTAAGTTGTGGTCACTAATTCAATGGTCAGTCAATTGGATTGGATAACAAAAAAGAAGAACTTAGCAGTTTGAAGATATGAATGGCTTGGGATGATCGTCCGTAGTTTTAGGCAAGAAAGATGGACGATTGCATGCTTGTAGAGATTGGATTAAAATAGGGATTCGAGTGATTTTGCTTCTGCCACAGCAATAAGGGCGCGTCAATTTCTCATATCTCTCTAATGCATTTTATGTTGTCTCCTATTTTTTCATTCTTTGAAAAATCATAGGGACATTTATGTTTGATTACGTGCAAACCTGTGTATGAAGTATCCCCATACACATATGAATGTCTCTTTCTCATTTTAATTTTTGAACCCTGGCCGGTTCATGTTGTTGAAAAATGGAACCCCTTCTTGTTTAATGGATATTTTGCTTCACATGCAAGCATTCTATCAAATTGGAAAAACCAAATAATAATTTTTAAAGATACTCAACAAAACAATCATTCACGAGTTTCCAAGGCCAATTGCCGGACAACACATAATTGTATTGTTCATTTGCTCTGTACTTTATTCATAACTAAAGTTTTGATTATATTGTGAGACAGATACATAACAGTCACAAACTCGATGCAAGCTTCCGTATAACACACATCATATTTAATTACCAATTGCTATATCACTGCTTTTGAGGTACGATGAACCATAATTAATTCCCACTCCTAAACTTAGCCCTCTTGGACATGTATAATTACACTTGGGATGATGACAAGTACGTGATTAATTATGTTTTATCAATAATTAAAGACAGTTTTCTGACAAAGACAGATCGATGCATGCGCTGAAAATTTCACAGATTACTGGGCAAGTGAAAAGAAGAAGAAGATTGAGAGAGTAAAGGAAAGAGAGAAAATATATGTCTCCATATACACACTTATTTTTTCTCTCATTCTTTACTAGAACATGGCAGGGAACTTTTGTAAAGCTTGTTCGCATTCACTGTAAGAAAAACTCGTCGGAAGCTTCAACCATGAAGCCAGTATCAGAAGAAAGAGTTTGAAGAATGTGTTCAATCTCATCAGCAGCATCTTTCATGGACGGTCTATTTTGTCTCTGTTCGTCTAAACATGCAATCGCAAGACACCCCAAAGTTTTGATACTATCCAACTCCGACTTACTAGCTCCCATCTTCACCATTGGATCAATCACTTCCATCAACGTCGTATTCTTCATCGCCCTCTTCACTAACACCACCAAGTTTACATCTTCCTCGTCTCTCCCAAAATCCAGAGCCTTCTTCGACGTCAATATCTCCAACAGAACCACCCCAAAACTGTACACATCGCTCTTATCCGTCAGCTGAAAATTTAAGTAGTACTCTGGGTCAAGATATCCCAATGTGCCTTGCGCACACGTTGTGATGTGACTCGCTTCGCTCAGAGCCAACTTGGAAAGTCCGAAGTCTGAGACTTTAGCGTTAAGGTTGTGGTCTAAGAGGATGTTGCTCGACTTTATGTCTCTGTGGAAGATTCTGGGTATGGCTGAGTTGTGAAGGTAGGAGAGTCCTTCTGCTGTTTGATGGGCGATTTTCAGCCGTCGATGCCACCGGAGTGGGGCCCACTTATTGGTGTTGTGGAGGTGGTCGTAGAGGGTTCCGTTGGGGACATATTCGTACACGAGGAGGGGTTCGTTGTGGAGGTCGATGCAGCAACCTAGGAGGCGTACGAGGCTGCGGTGGTTGATTTGGCAGAGGATTCGAACCTCGTTGAGGATCTGCTCGACGGCGCGGGAGTTACCGAGCTTGGCGCGCTTGATGGCCGTGAGAGTGCCGTCGGCCAGCGTGCCCATGAAAACCTCGCCAAAGCCGCCGGAGCCGAGGAGGTTGTGTTTCGAGAAGTTGTTGGTGGCTTTTGTGACATCTTTGATGGTGAAAATCTTGGCTGATCTTCCGCTATTGTTGTCGGCGTCCAATATGTCACGTGCTCTGTTTACGCTCATAAGTTGGGTTGCTTTCCGCCTCCGGTAGCGAAAAACCATTGCAGCGATCAGGATTCCGGTGATCATGGCAGCCGCAGCAAATGCCAAGCCTGAGATTATATTGAATATAAGAGTATTCAAATGGTACGGTCTTAACGGAGGGAGTAATGCATATTTGACATGCTAATCAAAAGATCATGCATTAGTTTTCCAAACACATGCATGCCGAATCGAACTTGCATGCAAAATATTGAAACACTTTAATTATTGTCATGATCCAACAAATAAATTACCTCGGCTAAGTAGAGCTTTCTTGTTACTATGACGCGTGCATCCTCTTCCCTGTTCACACCTGATATCTGAAGGTAAATGGATCAACCGAGTGGTAAACCAATACTGAAACGAACAAAACTGATCTTGCAAAATCCTTCATTTCTTCAAGATTCAACATCCTCCTCATGAGAAATAATATCAAAAACGAGGCTGATTAATTAAGATTAATTTTGAGTTCATCAGTGATTCACATGGCCAGGTTTGATTGGCGGCCAGCTAGCCACCAGTTGTACCTGACCACTTTCTGTTCATCTAGGCGCGCACTTACACAAACACATGTTTATAACAAAGAAACAATTAATGTTCTTCCTCGTTAGCGACACGACAAAATTAAACCCCCCATTTTGTTCAAATAATTTTTAAAGTTTAACTTGTTATTTTATTTATTTATGTACTTACTCTGACATATTCCGTTCACAGGATCCCACTGAAAACCAGAGTTGCACGAGCACTTCCTCACTCCACCCATAGCCGGAACCGGCGACGGCGAGCATGCCGAATTTGCCAAGCCACCACAATCTGCCGGCACCTTGCACACAGGCTCCTGCGGCAACTCCCATTCTATCTCCACCCCGGGCTCCGGCCACTCACTCACCGGAGCTGAATCATCCAAATTCGGGAAACTCACGTACGCCGCGCAACGCTCTTTCCTCACCCTAATTCTATACTCCGTCGCCGACCCCCCAGTCTTCACGGTGCAGCATATCTCGCCGCTGCACGCCTTGGCAGCTCTGGCCTTAACATAAGTATGACAGATGCTTGACGAAGAGCAATTCCACAAGAGAGTCAATACCTCTTCGGAGCAGTTCATGAGTACGAGGGTGTTACTGGAGGTAATGTTGAAGGGTCCGTTTGGGTCCAGCCACATGCCTTGGGTTCGGAAATCGGAGGAGACGCAGGTGTGGTGGCCGGCTAGACCGGGCTGCCGGATTACGAAACGCTGCCTTTGGGAGCTGATGGTGGTGATCATGTAGGAGGAACCATTGAGAGCGTTGAACCAGAGGGAACCTTTATGGCATCGAACCTTGTAAGATGGGTCGCCACAATGAGGGTTGGTGCTAAGTGGGAATGGGACATGGGTGCGACCACAATCTGGACAATGGCTAAAAGATATGACTAATGATGAGAAAGAGCAGAGAAGAAGAAGATAGAAGCTGGTAGGTATCTTCATGATTTGAACTTGTGGACACTCAAAATGAAGCTCTTATGGCTGGCTGGCTGGCTAGGGCAGCTATAGTTTCACGTTCATAATTTTCTAATTACGCAATCTAATCTCGTAATATATTGAAATGTGAGTCAACCCCTACTTTTGACACTAGATTCTATGATCTCTGTATAAAAGAAATTATTAGTTAATGCATTTGAACAATTTATTAGGTTAGATTTAAACTTGAATAGTGTATGTGTGTTACCTTTTGGAATTGATTATTATATCATGTGCATGTGATCAACTGATCATACATTTGTTGGCCCCAAAAAAAAAAAATCATACATTGACAGTATCCCATATCATTCTGCTCATACAGTCTGGAGAACCCCATGATGCATGGGCTCGACCTGAATTATGTTAACATTAGTGTGAAACCTCGTACGCGAAAACAATGGTTTGGTTTTATATTTCCAAACTTTTGCAAAGCAAAGGAGGGTAATGGACAGATGGTTTTGAAGAAAATGAATACCCCTCTTTAGGAGCTAATTGTGTGGGTGGATTTGATTTTAAATGTAATATCGATTCACTTTATTATCTCCTAAATTTATCATTTTTTAATATAATTTATCTATCTTATAAAATGATATATGATCTAATGTTATACAAGAGTAGTATTTTAAGAAGATTAAGTCATATTTGTTATAATTGAATCATTTATCTAACTTATCTACTTAAATGAAACGGTTAAGATTCATCTAACACCATAAAGTATTTTTTTTATGTATATCCAGCACCTTAAAATATTTATTGATTTATCTAATACTCCAAAATATTTTCCTAAGAATGTCAACATCTTAAAATGTTTTTTTATTCATCCATCATCTTAAAATATTGTTTTAGTGTGGCAAGCACCCTAATATAGAATTTAGGATTTAGGATATTTAGGATATTGAATGCATGTAAAAAAATATTTTAGAGTGCTTGATACACATAAAAAAATATTTCAGGATATTAAATGAACTATTAAATGTTTTAAAGTGTTAAACATATTTGAAAAAATGTTTTAAAATGCTTTATGAATTTCAATTCTAAATTTTTTAATTAATTCTTATATTAAAAATAAGTACAAGATAAATAAAAGTAGTGGAGGCAACAAAGGGAAAGGGGATATGTATTCCTCGTATGGCGAGCATCGTTCTTGACGAAGAATCTTGTGCTCACAACATTTCACTCCTTTTCTTGTGCTGAATCATGTGGTACTTCAATTCTTATAAGTAATTTAGTACAGCGAACTCAATATTATATTCTATTTCATTGCAGCTAGAATAATTTCTTTCGTACTTGGCTTCCTAGAGTTGCTAAATAATGCACATCTCCTGAGTTCTGTTGTCTCACATGGCAAGAAGGCATTATTATATCATATTGAATTAATAGAAGATCTTATTATTCGCAAGTAACTAATGAATAGTGTTAGCTTATATGCATGCAAAAATATATATAAAGTTTTAGTCACGGATGGTGTTAAAAATGATGAGAAAACAACTAACAACAAGGTTGGATATAGTAAAAAGGACTAGTTACTTATGACGCGGTGATGTGGTAAACCAAGTTCCAGATTCTTATTGAAAAATGTATTCATATTTAGTACTCAATAATATCTTGAGTAGAATTATCTCTAATATGAGAATACATGTACTAATAAAACAATAATAAAACAATGAATTATCTTAAAAGTATTTATACAATCGAATCATAACAAAATTAGAAATAATAAAAGCATACAATCTGATAAATTATTTTCGGAGAAAATATGTTCAAAGGACCATGATAAGTGGGCGTTTGGAAACACTCTAAAAAAACTCATTTTATGTTTTGCAGGATAAAATTTTTTATCTATATTTATTTCGTATAACATAAAATTATTTAAAATAAGTTAAATCTTAATTTTTTTTAAAAAAAAAAACTTGTATATGTGCAAGAAAATGGTGAAAAGATATAAAAGTCGGTGTACGAGTTGGCAATCCCCAACCACTTTGGATTTTGGATCTTTCTTTAAGGTCAATGTATCTTTTTTGGATACATCATCGGCAGACTGCAGATCTCTGAACATTTTCATCGCAGATTTGATCATAATTAAATGTGCTCTATTTTAGATCTTTTTTTTTTTTTTAAACCAGAGGCTCTATTTTAGATCTAAATTTTATTAGGGCAAAAGATTTTATAACTTATTGGTCAATCATTTTGTTTTTCCTTTCATGTGGAAGCTATAGAAGTCAATCTCAAATTATTTCCGGCATAATTGAACTGAACTAACTGTTTCTTAGAAATCATGTTCTGCTACCTATCCACTGATAAATAATTGAAAACTGGGTTAGTTCAAATCTTCTTGTTAAGCCCACCATTTAATGGAGACATTTAGCCTTTAGCCGCCAGCCTATGGAGAGGAAAACTTGTTGGAGTAAAGATGTGTTGGCCTCTTGTTGGATTGATAATGACCAAAAAGTTGGTCGATGAAGACTTCTGAACCTCCTTCCCCTTAAATTTATCAAATAATTGACCTTTATTATTCTCTCTGATGATATAAGCATATTATCTCGTGCTTTTATAATTTAAGATTCTATGAAAAAGCTCATTTATTGCTATAATTCTGCCAATACATATTCATAAAAACAGGTGTACGTATCAAGCTTATTCGTTAATTCCTTTATTTGTTTTTCCCTGTCTTTTCTTTTTCAAATTAAATTTGGTAAAATTTATTACAAAGAGAGAAAGTTATGAAAATTTAGACTCTATATCACTATTATCACACACCGTGGTAGTAAAAACTGCAGAAAATAATTCACGAGACGTAGTACCGATAATCTCATTTTTGTAGGCAGCAGGCCACACCATGATTGCTCATGTCAATTAACAAATTAAACAAACTATCTTAAAAGTACATATACCTAATAACTTGCAGAAAAATAAAAACTCTTTTCTAACGAATACTGGACTAATACATATATATCTATCCATATTGCCCAAGCTGCCAAGTAAGCATTCCAATACAATTTTGACATAAGAGTTGAGAACAGAACACAAACAAGTACACTAACTGCAGACTAATTATTTTATTACAAGCAAGTTCAGAGTTTCGATGGCCACTTTTTTGGCCATGAAACAACATACCCTTTGGTAATCAGAATATCAAATATACAGTCTCAAAAGCTCGTAGTCCACCTGGCCCTTTGGCCTCAAGAAACATGCATTTATTTATTTTTCCTCATGCACCAGAATCCCCCTATTTACATTGATTTTCAACACTAACTAACTAACCAAGCGTTGGGAACCCCTTTGGTTTTTCCACACGCTTGCTTGATTCTCAAGCCTTCACGATTTGCGAAACACAAACTCAGATAGCACACTTTAATATCAACCCCTAAATGCAGTTTTCAAACCAGGAGCACAGAACTTAAGGGAAGTTGTTTAGAAATTTGCAATCAGAGATTGTTTAATAAAAACATATTACGTTCTTACTAAAAAACCTTGACAGAAAACATCTAAAAACTTCACCTAAGTATTCTTCTTACTAGGATAAGTAGTTCTTGTGCTGAGCCTTCGGCTTCCTTGAAGCACATAGAGAAGCATAAGGATGTTCATGCTGAAACTTGACGACGATTCAGAGGAGAACCTGAAGATTGAACGCCGCCAGAAGATTGTGCTAGGAACTGTGTTGCAGAAGAAGAATTATTTGAAGGTGACGATGATGACTTGGCAGGTTGTGCAGTTGCAGAGAAGCCATAATCAGCCAGTAAAGCAGAAGCGGAGGTTTGAAACCGACCAGAGTCACCACCAGAAAGTCTAACGTACGAATAAGAAGGTGACTCACAAAGCCATGATCCCATGGCTCCTTCTTTCCCATTTCTGTATTGCATTATAGCTCTGTACACAAAAGGAATAAGACCCTCCATGTCTTTGAGAATAATCTTGAGAGAAAAAGAAGAAGAAGATAAAAGTTAGGTCTGGTTTCTGTGAATGGACTTAAGGTGAGAGGAATTGTGAGATTCCTGGGCTATAAGAAGAGGAAGATGATGACGTGGAGTAATGGATTAAAGTCTAGCTCTTCACGCTAAGCCATGAAAATTTCAACGCAAACGCACACGGAGACAGTGAAGGTGTACTTGAAAGCTATGTGCAAACCACACCTACATTATCTTTATATTTTTGCAGCACATACACATGCTAGAACCAAATCTCGCTATAATCTTCTCTGTGTTGCCCCACTCTCTCCTAATATTATTTTTCCTGGTTTGGTTTGATGGGTTTTTAGCTTTTAGACCAAGATTGGTTGGTTTGCTATGTTTTTTAATATTATATTTAATTTCTTCCTAATTAAAGTAGGTACCACGTATTTGAGCTTTGAGGTAGCCCTTGTTCCTATAACAACAAAATAATATCTAACTTTTTTTTGGTTTGTTTAGATGTTGTTTTAAAGTAAGGTACTTGATAAAATTATTGCCCGCTCATTGGTTGCGTCTTGAATCTGTGTGTGATTTGTCATACTAGATCTAATTAATAATTTTTATTTTGCAGATTGCATATGTTTGAACACACCAGAATAAATAATATTGCATAACCTATTATGAATATATATGGTATTAAAATCATTCTCTTGAAACCTATTTTTAATTAAGAGCTCTTATTTTCCTTCCACAATTGTTTGGTAAAAGAGCTTGATCGGCATCATCAGTTGTTATTATTATTTGTATGGCAAACATGTTAAGAAAATTTATGGTTATTATAAAAGTCATATTATGGAAAAAGTATGATCATCATTATCATCAACAGTTGCTAAAATGCGCGGAACCTGCTTGGAAATGATCCGGAAAAAATATTTTTAAAATCAAAGGAAAAGGTCAAGTGCTTTTAATCTCACAAATTAGCTAAACACTTTTATATACCCCCTTAATTTTCCTGCCTAATCATGGATTGCGATAGTTTAGCATTGTTATATCCAATAATTTTCATCAAATTAATAATATTATATATTCAGAGGTTTCTGCAAACATATAAATCATTTTTCTTTTGATTTGCAAATAAAAAAAAACGCTTGAGATAAGTTCAAAGCCAAGCTGCTGGATGGCAAATTAATGACATCACGTTTATGATTAAGTATTTTAATTTGATACTGATATTAATACCATAATAGCATCTATCCAATTTAAAACTGCGTTAAAAAAGGCAAACAAAAAGAAAGTCTAAGAGCTAGAACATTCTTGCAAAACAGAATATATTTAATAATATCCCTTTCGTGAACTAGCTGTATTTATATACTTCAAATAATAAAACCCAGGAACAATAAATATTTTCTATACGACCAGTCGGCTAGTGAGGATTGGGTATTCTTTCTTATATAAATAAGCTGGAAAATAATATGGAAAAATGCAACTCATTAGACTTAAGAATTAAGATAATGATTAACAATTTGAGCAATTCGTAAGTGAGATGTATTATTATATATGAGGCCGCCGCGTCCACAGGATTTAAAAATTTTAAGTTATTTTGTACCCTCTCTCGTATAAAAAAGAATAAATAGCTAAATCATTCATAATATTTACAGTAGTATTAAGTTTTTTAAAAAAATGTCGTGTTCAACAAGCATAATAAATTTTTATTAATTTAATTGAGGATTAGGTGGAAAGAATAAACTGGAAGTGAGGTGTATATATTCTTCCACTTGTTTGGCTAAGCTCCTTCAACAATATCCAATTATTTTGCCTCGGTGAAAATTAGCAAAATTTGACAAAAATAAGAGCCAGAGACCTAAAATTCAGGAGACGAATCATTTTAATAAATGTTAATAAAATTAACTCGTATTCAATATGAAATGATAAAGCTCAAAACAATTCGCCTTTTGAGTTCCGATTCGATCATTGGTCTAATATTTATTGAGTAATTGGCAAGATTCTGCAGTGTTCACAGCAACCTTCAAATACCAAGGTTCATTTAGGACTGTTGGTTTTTGTATTAATTTTTTTAATGATATATTTAGCACCTTCTGTAAACCTTGACACGATCTTTTTTCTTATAATTTACAGTACATTCAAAATATTCCAGAAGCATTTTAAGTCATAGTTTTGATTTGGTCCTTAAGTTTTTGGTTTCTGCGAAACTAATTTTTTAACTTTTAATCAATATCAATCGGCCAAAACGAAGAGAAAAAAATCTTTTGTTAGTTAATATATGCCGTATACATTTATGAACTGCTAGCCCTTCAGATATATGTCTCACAGAGCAGTGGCATCCATCTTTCATGTCTTCCAATTAAAGTTACATAAGATTGATTTGACATGAAACAGGAATAATTGACTTAATCAAAATACTAAATAAAATTGAGGAATTAAGATACCAATCAGTATTTAATACAAAAACTAGTCAAGAGGCTAGATTTGATCTAAATATAAACTCTTAATTCATTTTGCTTTTTATATTTTCTCAAAATATCCTTATTGATTACAAAGAATCTACCAAGAAATAATTCTAATATTAAGTATTGGGATAATTTTAATCATCAAAGACACATAACTGAAGATAATAATTTAGAGAGACTAACACATATTTATGACAATAACTAACTTAATTAATTTTTTTAATATCCCCAAATTAATTATTTAATTCTTATATTAAGGAGAAGAGATAGTATTTATTGACCTTTTTAGCAATAAAATCTATGTTTTTAATTGATTTGAAGTCATGGTGTGCATCATGAGGCCAATGGCTGGAATCAAGCAAAGAAATAAATAATTGGTAATTAAAGCGACGAATATAATTTGTGGGAATAAGTGTGGATCTCGTGCCCACTAATTTTAAATACTAATAGTTTCAAAGAAGAGATCAATGGGTCCAAAGGCCAAATTAAAACTGGGTGCGCCTCAAGAGTTTTGATTAGTGCACTGAGTTAGGTGAAGATGGAAGATAGGTCAAGCTCTAATTAATAATTAAATTTTATTATAAATTATGCTTTATTTTTTTTTTTAAACTTTATAGTTTGCAAAAGTACAAAATTGAAGGCCACATCAACTTCCATTTATTATGATATTTGCCTACATCAACGCTCAAGTGCTATCTCTTATTCCCCTTTCAATCAATTTCCCTAACGCAATGTGAAATTGATGTTCATTTTATCCTTACGGGGGATAATATTTCTTTAATCTAATTAATCTGTGTTTATTTGCAATATTTGATATCCTTTCGTGTCGTATAATTTTATAATTTTTTATTGATTGGCAATTAAGGAAATTAAGAGTTGTTGATTTGAATAAACTTTCTGTTCTAATTAACTGTGCTTTAAAAATAAGACGCCAGTAAGTTGTTTTAAATTCCAAGACTGGCAACTTAATTACTTTATTAACTACGATATTGTCCATTAAGTGAAGTTTTGTTGCCTTGATTGGTTGCTATTTGTTGATGAAATTAAATAAGATATACGCCGTCAGCTTACTGATTAAAAAAATTTAAATTAATTTAAAATTTATCAAAAAAAATTAATTTAAGCTAATTCATTCAACTAATGAATATATGATTTTATTGATTTTTTTAAATTATCCCACGTATCTTAATGCATCACGTAATGGTATGTTGAAACGCGCAATTTTTTATACTTGGATATTTGATTTTCTTAATTTATTTTATTGTAATAGGCCCAAAACATCGGTAAAATTTCCTTCCTGACCTCTTTATCCCTTTTCTATTTAATTTATTAATTAGGAAAAGAATAACATATTAATTAAACATTTACACATATTTTTTCACAGCTAATAATACAAAATTGTATTGGTTTCCTATTATATGATATTTAAAAAAAAAGAACAATTATTTACTCCCTAGTCCCTCCCTCTTATTTTTGCCAACTCTAGAATGCAGTATTATTATGCCATATAACCCAACTCACCAACTCTTTTTGTTGTTAGGAAACAAAAAGTATTATGCCATATAGATTGCATAGAAGCTCCTCTAGAAGCATTTGATAAATATAATTAATCAATATTTAATTTTTGAGACAAGTCAAATAGGAGAATTACATGATACCGTTCCCTATACTAAGAGCATTTCTTAGCTTAATCCGTGCTGGACTTGGTCAATTTTCTGACCCTAATTTGCATATTTTAATTAAGTGTTAATCCTCAAAGCTATCCGTCTTATTTTCTTAGTAATTAAGCAAGCCTGTTTTTGGATTTAGAAATTGATAACCCTCTTGAAATGAACTATTATTTTAAAATATTTTCCAACATATTCATACCACTCGATATAAACTAATTACGAAGTCTAAAAATTATAAATAGTCAGCCATAATAAATGACAAAAACATCATATAAGTTCAACTCAAGACGATTCAACAATAATAAACAAAATTCTTAAAGTATAACACAAGCTTGGCAGTGTAAGTTCAAAGGCAGTAATTTTAAAATTTAAATCAGTGGGGAGTAAGTTTTGACTATAAAATTTGGATTTAAATATTAAAGTGTATGTCGTATCTGCAATAAAATATGTGAATAGTTGTCACTGGAAATTTAAAAAAAAAAACAGCCTAGAAAATAGCTTCAAGTTAATGATTTTTTATAATATAAATATTGAAATTGGAATGATTAAATACATTATTAATAAAAATTTGCTATGTATTATACTCTTAAAAATGCAGTATCCATGGGCATTATTTCGTTGATTTTAATAGGAAAAATCCCAGATAAAGCCCTTCAAATATACATAATTTCATATTGAGTCCTGGAGTTGTGTAAACGACAGAAAGGGTCAATGACCCAATCTGTCATTTGTAAAATTAAGAGAAATTGATAATTTTGTCCTGATTAAGCAAAAGTAAGTAGTTATTCTCTAAACGAATATAGGTAACGTTTATACTGTTCTAGTAATTACATGATTAGTTGTAGTTAATAACAAGGCATCTTCTCACAGGGCATTCCTGACTACGAAAAAAACGAGTAGTTATTATTT